GACGTCCAGGGCAACACACATGGGCGCGAAACCACTGTGCATAAACTACAGTGCGCTCACGAGTTTCTCGGTTACAAGACTCACACCACCATGGGACTCGCCATGCTACGGGCACTAACACGCACGCGCCACGCTTGCCTCTACTCGCTGCCTTAACTGTGCGTAAAACCTTTCTTTCACCCCTCTGGGCCTGCACGTTGTAAACACAGCACCAAAATAAAAGCACGTGCGTTCCAACAGCTGATTCATTGCTATGTGAATGCATATTACTTTCAAACATTGATTTACCCAATTGCAGAAGATTTTTATTGCTATAGACATTTGTTGAAACTATTGTTTACAACAAGTAACGAAAACCCATGGATCACAGATATGGGTATAGCCGCAATTGGATACGCAATTTACTTGCCATCCACTATGAGGTTTGTAATAATTGCAATAAATTATTGCACCATTTATAGTGAAATTAAATTGTAATTTTGTTAAATAATATTATAATTTAATTTAGTTACTTTAAAATAAGTTTCAGAAATGTCTCATATTAACAGACTATTTCCGTTCTCACGGAGCTTGCATGGGAATCAAAAAGATCAGCAAAAATGCAACTCCCACCGGGCCCAGGAATTTTCCCCTACTTCCATCTAAATTTTCGTTTTCCCCACCTTGACACTGAAGGCAAGGACCAGAGGCTAGTCGCAAAATCTAATTAATTGCAGTACAACTTCTTGACTCTTCCGAGCAACATCTCCTGGCTCTAGCCTGGCAAAGTGTTGCAAGACCTCAAGAACGCCGCTACTTAGCCCGTCTGCACGGAGAGAAAAATCAGGGCTTTGTAGCACGGAAGTAGTTCGTGAATTTTTCGCCCGGCGCCTTTCTTCCCCGTAAAGTATGAATTCGTACGCTTTCTGCGCGACGAATATCTATGCTACAAGTCCAAGTCAGATGTGCCTTGGTAGCAAGAAACCGTGCTGCATTCGTAGCGACGCCACGCGAATAACGCAAGCACTAGCAAGGTGCTTCTTTTCCACGAGTTCCGCCCTATTTCGGTAAGAAGAGCTTCTTGCAAATACACTTTCGTGCAAACGTTTCAGAAAACGTATTTTAAAAATTCAATTTAAAGCCATTTAAAGCATATAACTTCAAAATTGTTTTTAATAAATAAACTATAATGGGTAAAAGAAGTCTGATAAATTTAATTATTGAATAATATAATAATATTATGATAAAAGTAAATAAAATAATATTATAATAATATTATACACAAGTACCCACGAAAGTGTATTTGCAAGAAGCTCTTCTTACCGAAATAGGGCGGAACTCGTGGAAAAGAAGCACCTTGCTAGTGCTTGCGTTATTCGCGTGGCGTCGCTACGAATGCAGCACGGTTTCTTGCTACCAAGGCACATCTGACTTGGACTTGTAGCATAGATATTCGTCGCGCAGAAAGCGTACGAATTCATACTTTACGGGGAAGAAAGGCGCCGGGCGAAAAATTCACGAACTACTTCCGTGCTACAAAGCCCTGATTTTTCTCTCCGTGTGCGCGTCGGATCCCCGTGTAGAACTTAAATTAAAAGTATAACACGAAAGGCGGACGACAAATAAAATAGAAGTCTTCTAACCGACGAAGTCCCTGTGAGAGCTGCGGCGGGAAAATATTCAATTTGATAAATAAATTTTATTAAACGGAATTTTGTTTAATAACGGGCCTGTCCGTGCGTGTAGCGCCTGCGCCGTTTCGCTGCATTGGCCCCACAACACAGTGTTAAAATCTTATTCGGGTAACCAAATAAATTAACCTGTAAAATCGAACAATCGGTTGCAAAAGGCAACCTAGTTAAAGTGTAACAAGAAGCGTTCTCGCATGACGGCAAGAAAACTACCTCTAGCTGACGTCGGTAGAATAAGTAAGTTCTGTATCGTTCAAAAAATTAGTATTACAAATTAGTATTAGTATTACTATTTTAAATTTCACTAGTTAAATTCACTTGTTAACTTCATAACTTTCTTTTTAATAAATGAACTAATGTAAATTAAATATACATAAATTTTACTTACCTTTCAACAGAACTCCTTTCCATTTAACACCATAACTAATTGATTTTCAACCAATCATATAAAGAAAAACAACAGCAGAGCGTAACTTTTAAAAGTAGGATCACGATCCCGCAAAATTCAAACAAGGTCCTTTAGACCTTGTCAGCTTGGTGCCTCTTCAAACTAAATTTAGGGCTATCTCAAAAGCTCAATTTAAATAAATAAATTTTGGTTTGTAACACGTCTGATTCGTAATTTGCTACCTTCAGTACCTCCGCCTAGCGATTTGTAAGATTATCTTCGCTTTCTGAATTCATTTTTTAATCATATTAAATTTTCTTACTATTTAGTGCGTTTTTTCGCCGAAATAGATGGTAAAAACTTATGATCTTAAGATGGTAAAATGTAGATGTTATCCGGTACCATCATTATGCTACTCGGTACTATCAAAGATGTTACAAAAAGTATGGTTGTTATTCAGTAGTATCAAGATGTTACTCCGTACAATTTGGATATAGTAACTGATAGAATCTAGATAGCTGTCCGTATATGTAAGATCAAATATGGTACCTGGTACTATCCAGATAGTACCCCATACCATTTTGTAACTAAGGAGTTTTTTCGATTTGCTATTTTAAAATCTGAGTATTACTACTCTGCATCATAATTTTTTTCTGCTTTTTCCATAAAGGCATAATTTTAACAGAGAAACGTAAACGAGAATTCGTTGCCTGCCTTCACTACGGGGAGGTGTTTAGTCGCAAAAGTATAAAAAAAAGAAACAAACACAGAAACTAATTTTTTATTGCTCAAAAATTACTTGAGATTTTATTCGCACAGCAATTCAATTAAATTCTGGTATAATATTTACTTTAAACCTCTTCTGGATTACAAAAAAATCAAAATTTAAAATCACGAATCGAAAAAACACGTACCTTCCCACACAGCACCGAATATTCCCCGAAGATTCATTGAACGTTGAAAGGTTAACTTGGAAATATTGAATCGACGGGTTCAGAAAAGGTTATTTAAATATTTAAATGTCCGCATGTGAGCAAATATTTAACGCAAAGGTTGACTGAATGTATAAATTACATTTTCGTTAAAGGTTCTAGGGGGTCGTTCTCATGTCACGTGATACATATTTTAGGTATTTTGAACTCCCTCTCTCTACGGCGTGATATTTTTTCTATTCTTAAAAAATTAAATTTCCATGGACCGTGATACTTTGCCTACCCTTCTCCCACCCCAGAATGATAATAATAATTAAATATTTACTTATTTCATTTTTTATACTTCTAGTTATATTGTTTTATCCTTTTTCATATATGATGACTATTATTTAAGAAGTAATTAAATTTATTTAAAAAAATATTTTTGCCCAATATTGGAATTAGCGGTCCAGTGACTTTTACCTACCTTGGCAGACATTTTGGTTTTTATTTCTCTTTCTACCGTATAAATTAAATAAAGACGAAAAAGGAAAATGGTTGTCAGAAGTAGGAAAACTTGATGGCGTATTGCAGTTTAGCCAATCCCAATAAAAACGAAACTTCAATTCATATATTAAGTCATCTTTCATTTTGAACCCGGTGATTCAATTCTCCTGAGTTAACCTTTAAATATTCATTGAATTTTCAGGAAATTTTCGGTGATAAGCAAACATTCAGTTTTAGATAAGAAAATTAAATAAATTCCCACAGATGTGAATTTTTCAAACTTCACTCCCCCGGTGTCTGGTCTATAAAAAGAAGTTATAAATGAAACTCGAGGTCGGCCTCCTTGATCCGTCTTCATGCAGGCAGGCAAACATGGGTCCCTATATAGGAAGCCATATGGTTTCCTATACAAAATCGTATACGTAATTGGAACAGGAATTTGAATAGGAAATTAAGTCGGAATTATCATATGAATCCACATCCACACAGGAATGTACATTCCTATTTCAATTCCTATAATATGAATTTTTTTTGCAACTCTAAGATATATATCTTTCAATAGTAGAGGTTCCTGATAGACTACAGAGATGAAAAAAATTTATTGCGCAGCCGAAAAAGTTGAAGAAAACTATTGCGCATGATATTAAGATATAATGTGCATTCACATGATAATTCCTACTTAATTTCCTATTCAAATTCCTGTTCCAATTACGTATACGATTTTGTATAGGAAACCGTATGGCTTCCTATATAGGAGCCTATGTGGGGATTTTCAGTAGGGAATATTAACATGAGGATGACATTTTAGTATGACTGCAATATTACGTGCTACTTAGGGAGTTTATTTTATGCCTACTATAGGTATATATTGTAACTTTACTACCCAGTCAACACAAAAGCTTGCAACAAACTTGCAGGAAGCTTGCCGTGGAAGTTGTCCAAAATTGCAGTGCAAACATGTAGCAAGTTTAGTACATGTAACAGAATGTCCTCTCATGGCAAGCTTGCTACAAGTTTGCAAAACTTAACACGAAGCGCAGTTGTAAACGGAAGCTCCTACGCCTGCGCAATACGTTTTTTAACCTCCAAAGCAAAGTGAATTCTAGGTTTATTTAGAAACAAATTGTTTCTAATATTTTTTTAAATATAATACAAGCTTGCAGCAAATTTTTTTTCTTGTAAGCTTGCTAAACTACCTTGCCGTGATAGGACATTTTGTTACTTGCACCAAACTTACTACATGTTTATACAATTTGGGCATCAAGTTTCTTGCAAGTTTTCGTACTGATTGGGAAGCTGTACATTTAATCCATACCATAAACTTATAGCAGAGTATTGTGCTATGTGGGAGTACTTGTACATGTACCTGTACAAGAGCATGTGCACTTTCTTGTATAATATCTTATATAGGCATTTTCGGTAAGGACCTTACAACCCATACAAATAAATATACGATAACCTTAGTACAATAATATGATGTGCAATGTGGGATACTCTTCTATAATACTTTTTCCTTTGCATTAGGGTCATTTTTTCTTCAAAGTAACATTATGTCTCGTCAAGTGGAATATTTTAAAGAAATGGAAGATTCAATGAGAAATGATGTATGGAAGTTTCACTGTGAAGTATTTAAGAAAGTAGAGCAGTATTTTAAAAATGTTGCAGCTTATGTACGACCTCAAAAAGTAATCAACGCTATATTATATGCTGTGTTCAGAGATGCAGTTTTGGACAAATATCCATCCTCATTTTATGAGTAAGTTTTAAGAATTTATTGGATAATTTGAAGGTTTTAATCTTCTGACAGTACGGATAGCACATGGTCTTGGACACCATCATATTAATCACCTTAAAGTTATCATATGATGTTAAGTGAACATATTACATGTATTATTACCTTGAAGTGGACATTTTAATATAACTGCAATGTTACATATGATATTACGAATCTTTCATGTTATATTACTGTGATACTAATAAGTTATATTAATATGTGACGCTCCATGGTGAAAGGGACCTTAGCTACAAAAACATGAATTTCTAGTTATTGATGTAAATCCATAGATTAGGAGTTGCTCTTTCGCATGAAAAATTCAAAAAAAATTTTTAATTATTAGATTTCGTGTTATTATTAATTAAACATGGGCATGTTTGGTTACGTGACGTCACCACAAGGCAGTATCAGAAATCCAGCCCCTCCACTTTTCACACAATCATACTCGCCTTGAGTGTGTGATTCACTCGCTTCGTGCGACATCGGCTCTTTCAGTAGCGTAACTATACACTCAGAGCCCTAGGAAAGCCAATCATGGAGATTAGTTATTTAAATATTTATATTATTATTATTATATAATTTTTTTCTCTATTTTTCTTTTTGTTGTTTTTTACAATAAAATTTAATGCTTTTTAATTAAAAATATATCACTTACATTTCCAAAAAAAGCCGGTTTTCATTCGTGTTTTAATTCAAAAATTGGCGCGCATAATATTAAAGCCGAAGATGAACGAAGTAATCTCAGACGCGTCTGACTCACCGATGTACAAAATAGCAATGTAGTAGTAAGATGGTGGGGCTATATTCTGATGGAGCACTCCAACCAATCAGAACGCATCACTTTAAACGCGTTTTCTGTAAAATTTGTCTTTTGGAGCTAAGGTCCCTTTCACCGTGGAGCGTCACATATTATGTGCTATTTAAAATGTTTTATAAACAAATATGAATTTGTTTCATTAATCCACATGCGAAGTTGGTTAGTTCACATTGCTAATTGCGAATAGCGAAATGTCCGCCTAGGTACGAGTTTGATAAGCGAACTTGCTGAGAACTTTAGCTGTGAGTTTGCTAAAAATTTTGATTGCGAACTCTTTGAGAACTTTTAATGCGAATTTTCAGAAAAGTTAATATGCGAATTTCATGAAAAATATCTTAAAATATTTATTAATAGGGTAGGTGCACTAATGATTTTAGACAACATGTGACTGATATTTTTTTTCAGACGTAAATGTACTTAAAAATTTGAATTTTGTTCGCTTGGACGGAGAATTTAATAATGTTTAATATTCATATTTATTTTTCTAAAATAAATTATAGTGTTAGATGAAAATTGTATTTAAATATCAATTGATCAAAATCACCATTTGTCGATGGTCGTGATCCAATTTCTCGAGGTTCGGTTCCAATTCTCGATGCTATGGAATTTTTTAACATATAACCTGACAGCATTGAATTATAGTTATAAGAGAATAATTATTATAGTGCCATCGATATCAAATTTAATGGGGTAAAGATTTAATTGAAAATACAAGGTTAATTTACAAATTATTTTTGTTTTAAAATTTTTTACAATATACTGTTTATCTGAAAAAGAAAATTACGACCATCGACAATTGGTGCACCATCGGTAACTGGTACACTTACCCTATAAATGTATGTTGTATAAAAATTAATTATTTTTCTTTAATTACTGTTAGGGTTAGAATTTGATGGGAAATGGTTTTAGGTTTTTATGGAAATTAATCATAAACAAAAAAATGACTTTTCCTATTACAAATTCCGGTTGGCCAACGACATGCCCTTCGGACAAAATTAAGTATAAAGGTAGTGGAGCCCTTACTACCATTCTATTATTCAGAATGTCGTTGAGAGTCGTATTCTTGTTTGTACTCCTAATTTGGTCAATTAGAAAAAAAGAATAATGAGATCTAGTCTAAATAAAAAGTCACAATTTAACCCTAAAGAAAAACATGTATTTTATAAAGTTAAGATAGAACCAAATTAGTATTTATTACATAGATTAAAACAATGTGTTCAATATTGTGTTTGTGTGTTTGGGTATATAGAGCATTAAAACTTACTACAATCAAATCAATAATATATCGGTATTCAAAACAATTCAATTAAATCAATAATAATAAATCAATATCCAGTAAATCAATATTCAATAATTCAGTATTCCACAAATCAATATTCAATAATACAATCCACAATGAATATCAATCATTATTCCAATTCCACTCTGTAAAATTAATATTTTAATCAAACTAAAAGAATTTCTCCACTGAGAAAATTTTTTCACAATGAACACTTCAAGCAACCCCAAACTTCGGGTTGTAAACACCATCTCCACTCGAGACCCGTCCTGAACTGCATTATTCTCTGAACAATCCTGGTCTAAGGAGTTGTTCCCATAGAGATAATATAAATAGAGTGGAGATGGTCTGTATAGAGGCGTCCGTTTGATAGAAAGAGAATGCGATTTTAGCACCAGTAGGTGTCTCTCTTGCGCTGGTGCTTATTGAAGGACAGATACTGGTGTTAAATCTTTCTTCTCTTTCCAACCCATTCTGTTTATGTCAGGACACTTCCCTCTTACGCAGCCGCCTATACCTTGTCTACTCTATTTATATTATCTCTATGGTTGTTCCACCTATCTCACTCGGAGACTTCACTTAAAAGACTTCGATTTCTCATCGACAATTGGTTTTATTAATTGACGAAAAGAGTGGGAAAAATATAATGAATTCAATTGTCGCTAAGTCGCTTCGTCCAACCTTGTATTATTTAATATTTTCTCTTTAATCAATATTCAAGTTAATAAATTCAACAATAAAATTTATAAATTTAGTAAAAATAAAAAAGAATTATTATTTATTCAATTGTTGCGTTGCTCTTCATTTATCTCTAACATTGATAGATGAAATTTTTAAAATGAATTTGGAGGGACTGGGGGGTTGAACCCGGGTTCGTAGCGCAGAAAAGAAGAAACGACACAAATGGCGGGCTAATTTGAAATCGGTTTGAAATTAATATATTAATATTTGCTTGAAAATGGAATCTAATAATCACCTAAATAATTATTTGAACAGTTACTTTTTTAAAATTATTATAATAATTGTTACGGACGGATTTCCGTAATATTTAAAATTTTTTTTTGGGCGATAAATATTATTTATTAAAAATAATATTTATATAATTAACGTTACAAATACTTTGTCAATTATATACCTACACCTATACAACACAAACACAAACACATATTTAAGTTTCTGATACTAGAATATTCAAATAATATTTCTAATTACTTTAACAACTATTTATAATTTCATTTTTTTTATTTATTTAATTTCTATATCAACGGTTATTTCGCAAATGATGTCAGATTATTGAACTCAATATTGCGAAATAATTTGAACTAAATTGTCAATCGATTTCGCTGATTGTGGGACTTACATGTATAAAAGTTGCCACATTAATTTGGAAAATAGGGAAACATAAGAAATCATAAAGGTAATTCAGGTGGTTGAACCGATCACGCCACTAATAAAATGCAAGTTTGCTAAAACTTGCATGGAAACAACGAGGTGTTGATTGCAAAATCAACCCTCTCACCACTTAAAATTACATACCTACAGGGTGTGATCGTTGACACCGAATTATTCTTCGGGAGTCTCATATTGTCTTTCCCGCAAAGCGGATGTGTTGTCCGCAAAGAGGCGGAAGAATTTATTAAGTTTGTTCCCACTAAAAGTGGTCGAAAATAGTTGTTTGCTCCCCTCAGTAAGGGTAGAGTCTACGAAATTATCTCAATAATACAGTGAATTTTCCACGATTTGTAAAATCGATTATTATATAAAATTTCTTAAATTTATAAAGAAGGGTAAAATTAATTATCAAGTACAAAGTGCTATAAAGGTTAAAAGTGCAAGTTACGATTAAATTCAGAAAGTGTTTTATTTTTGTTTATAACAACAATTGTTTTTATTTCAAAACTAACTGTTTGGAAAATTCAGGTTTGGTGAACCCAAACTTCTGAATTTTTAATAAGCAGACTTTGAAATATTAAAATAATTGTCGCAAGCCAATAAATATTAAAAGTTAAATAAAAGGAATTGATTAGAGAACAGAGAAAGAAAGGATATACTTCCGCATACTTGAAAAGTAATTAGATACTTTTCAGTATCTTTATTTTATTATTATTCTGGTGAGTTGCTTTAATGCTATATATATTAATTTAAAACATATAAAGCCTAAATGCGATAAACAAACATCATTACACACAGTTCACACACACAAATTGTTTTTGTTTTTATTGAGAGTTTTCTTTTATTTGATCTCTTTGTTTTTTTTACTTGTCATAAATGACATTTTTGTGAGACTTGATTTTGTTAAGCAAGTAGCTTAAACTAAACATTTTTTAAATTGTAAACCTTTTCTATTTAAAACCAATTGGGGAACTAAATGTAAATCGTTTGGGGGTTGAATGAATAAATGTAATCTTATTTTATGTTAATTCAATTTTCTATTTATTTAATCACCTTTATATGCATTTGTCTCATTTCTTTCTTTGTAATCATTTTCAATAAAATACCGTCTATCCGGGGGTGTTAAATGAATAACACTGTGGGTGACAGTCCACTACCTTTTTCTAACTTGTTTAGCGAAGAGCAATTACGCTTTCCAAATAAGCGGAATTGTTGAATAATAAAAATTAGTATTTTTTCTAAATATTTATTATTTCTATTTAAATTATCTATCTTTATTATTTTTTTTATTAATTAACATCCGTCTTTAACAATAATATTATTAAACAGTATTAAAAAACAATTTTTATATAAGACTTGTTAAATATGTATTAAAATCAAATTAAAAATTTATCGTATTAATTATTAAATTAATTATTAACTAACATAACACTGGTCGACAAAATTTAGGTTTTTTTTTGCCACAAGAGTAAACGATGGTGATTCTTATAGGAT